AGCGGTTTTCTTTTTATGAAGATTAATGTACCACGATTTGTTTGGCACACAGTCTGGCATCAGACGTGTGTGAAAAGATATATATACATATATATATATATATATATATATATTATTTACCTAGGAATCTCGCGATGATGAAGGGAATTCCGTCGGTCATTTTGTAAGGGCCTAAGTGTAGTCATCAAATAAAACTTTCGTTATGAAGTATGCTGTATTTGCACATCCCATGCATTCCGTACTCTTTCAAGGTCATATATGTTCGGTCACCTTAAAAAAAGGCGATATTTGCCAAAGCGGCAATATTTTCAGTGCATTCAAGGAAACTGAAATAATTGCTGTAGACAATTTCGGAATGCGTTGCATTCGGTGTCCGTTCCGTGAATGAATATTCGTGTTTTCGGTCGATCGAAAACGTATGCTTTAATTCCACTGGCTTTTTTTAGAATTATGGTGATCAGCTTCATCATTGGTCGAGTTTCGTATACAATATACCTCGGCGTTTTTCTCTTCTGTGATCTTGCTTAGTTTTATTTCCTCAAGAAATCACCACGAAATGTGAAAGTTCTGCTCAATGTAAGTTTTGAGCCTAATCGTTCTTACTTACTTACTGACCGAACTTATCATTTTTTTGCTCTCTATCGTTGCTAAAGATTTCGGATTTTGGATCGAAAGATCACTGAAAAGGAATTTTCCGATTGTGATTTACTCCCCTACAGAATAATCACTTTTCATAGAACAAAGGTATCCTTTCCGGTATACCTGACCCGTTGGATGCTTCTGTTCCGTGCTGTACCTCTACACCGGCTACTCGCAATAGGTGCGAATCGGTTACTTGAGAGCAGTGAAGAATCTGTTCCGGTTATATAGTGGATTTGGTTGTGTACGGATCAAACCAGGCATGAAGTGAAATCCTGATAACCACTGTACAACTGTTTCGACCCAAATGAGTTGGACCCGTTTTACAACACACCTTAGTGTAATGAACAGCAGACGGGGCGAACTCCTTAGCCACCAGGACCTGCTGTTCACTGACGGAAACCAGTGGTCTACACCCTGGGATTTGGAGTGAACCACATAAGGCCCCGCTAAGTTAGGCGTGGTGCTTCATGTCTTCTTTGACCGTTGTGATCCAGGTCTTCAGCTAATCACCGAGCTGAAAGCGCCATCCCGAACACGGCGTTGGGAGGGTAGCTCTGTAGCGGGATACCGGGGAACACGACCGAACCGTTAGAAGCAACCGACTACGTCTCACAGTCGCATTCTATGATAGAACGGACGACCCCTCGATAGATTCGCATCTTTTATGGAGGCTAGTTTTTCTGCGTGTCCGTACTGTTCAGCGGACCCTTTCCTAAATGGACCCGTGGTTGAATTTACTCTTTGGTTTGGCCGTTAGGCAGGAAAACAGAGTATAGACACTTGAGACCCTGGACGAATTCTATTGACTCGCCATTGACGGTGATCGGATTTTGTGCTGGATTTACTGCGGTCGAAATAGTCTTAATCTTGAACAAGTTGGGTCATTATCCGCGAAAGTTCTTGGGAGTTAGGTACATAAAATGTCTTCAGCTTCACTCGGTTTTACGTCGAGGTAATAGCTCTGGATTCTAAACATACAAGTGCTA